AAAATTCTACCCCTTTTGGCGCCCCCCTACGGTCGGCGCCCGGGGCGGCCGCCCTCCCCGCCCTCCCCTAGCTACGCCTCTGTGTGATGTATCGGATAATGAGATCCTGGGCGACCAAATACATTTTATCCCACCTTTGAATTAGCTAAACGCTCTTTACCTTTTATTGGTACACTAAATGTTTAATAAAACTAAAATCAATGCAACCTATTTTTTTCCCAGAAAAATTTATTCTGTATTTTATTAAAAAAATAATGTAAAGCCCAAACCGATTTATGGCAAGACTTGCTATAAGGTCTCAAAACGTTTGGCAACTCATTTCATTATAAAAAAAAAAGAGAAATGTGTCAATGTGGCAAGCTGACCAGCTTTACTTATTTTTGCTCTCTTAACTTATCACACGCTGAAAAATATTTATGACAATGAAACCGTGTACGCAGACCTTTGACAAACAGGTGCTTTGTGCACAGAGAGTCTTTGTCCATTCTGGGTAAAAATAACTTTTTGGGATTAAAAATTGCGTAATCTATCTATCTATCGATATACTACTAAAACTCAAGTTTGTTTACATGTTTGAATAGTTATATGTTTGTTTGTTTGTCTGATTTGGTACTGTAAGGAAACTGCTCTATATGAGGGGCTGTAAAATAGTATGTAGGTAGAGAATAATTTTTGATTGCAGACAGACTGTTAATCACACATTTATTTAAAGACGTTAATTAATATATTGATTTATTCATAGGTAGATTAACCACATTAATTTTAAAGTTTTAGAACAATGACTAAACTTTGACTGAATAGTGACGTTTGACAACTAATTTTTTTTTTTTAATTTGTTATTGGGGAGAATCTGCATTATGTGTAGAGCTGTAAAATAGGATTTTGGGTGGTAAATATTGTTCCTTCTTAAACACACTGTTAATTACAAACTAATGTGTAGCCGTTATTTAATTTATTGATATATTCATAGGTAGATTAACCACATTAAGTATAAAAGTTTAGAACAATGAATTAAGTAATAGTACAAGGGTTTACTATCTTTTTACAACGTTTTCAATTATTTTTTTCTTAAGGCCTATATGTGAATGATAAGGTTGACTATCAGGACCTCGCGGGGCACAGGGCAGGTGAAAAAGAGTTCACCTGTTTCTATATTCTCAGCATATGAAGGAATAGTGTGGTCAGAGCCATGCTCGACCGGAATCGTTTTTTTTTTAAAATTCAAACATGTCTGAGACTTGGCGGGACACTGGGCAGGTGAAGTAGAGTGTAGTAGAGTTTTTTAAATATTAAAAACCTCTTTTTGAATGTGGGGTCTGGTTATTTTGGGATGACAAGTGCTGACAGACGTGATGTCATTTATGGATGACCCCCGAAACCCATAGTTATCTAACTAGATAACGGGTAGTCTATATACTACTAAAACTCAAGTTTGTTTACATGTTTGAATATTTTTTTTTTAAATTTAATTTTTTTTACTTTCTCGTATATACGTAGTATAGAGAAAGTATTGTAATCGTGCAAAAAAAAAAAAAAATCGAGATTTTTACAAATCTCGACGTTTTACACCTCACTGATACGGAAAAATATAATTTTGCAATCTTGTCCGTATGTCTGTGTGTCTGTGTGTGTGTGTCTGTGTGTGTGTGTGTGTGTGTAAACACGATAACGATAACTTGAGTACCGTTACAGCTAGGTTGATGAAATTTCATATATAAGTATTTTATCAAAACGTAGATCCGTATCAACTTTTGAGCGATTTCCGATAACCGGAAGTGGTACTTTTTCTACTTTGAATTTTTCAAAAGCCTATAACTTGAGTACTATTTCAGATAGATAAATGAAATTTCACATGTAAGTAAAAGATCTAATTCTCTACCTTCTGTTAAATTTTGAGTAATTTCCGTTGACGGGAAGTACTAATTTACGCTATTTCCGATTTCTCAAAAACGCATCTAAATTTATAAAGTACTATTAATATTGCGCACCATTATGAACATCTTTATTCGGTGTTCGCTTGGTGTGCAATACTTTTTTTTCTATGAGATTCTATTTTATTTTAAAAAGTTTATGTATTTAAAATGGATTAAAAATCATAACTATATCCCGAGTTCCCATCCCTTGTTGTTTAATATAAGAATATTCGAGAAAGTTTAGGAGAGATTACTCCTGGTTTATTTTTAGTTGTGAATGATAATGTTGCCTTTGCCTTTTGGGACTTATCGGGATACAGGGCAGGTGAAATAGAGTTCACCTGTTTCTTTGTGCTCAGTATATAACGTGGATAGTGTCGTCAGAGCCGTGCTCGGCCGGAATCTTTTTTTTTTAAAGATAAAACATGTTGTCTGAGACTTGGCGGAACACTGGGCAGGTGAAGTAGTGTTGGGTAGGTGTAAAGTTCACCTGTGACGACAGCGTATGAAGAGATAGTGTGGTCAGACCCACGCTCAGCCAAAATCTGTGTTTTCACAGACAAAAACATGTCTGAGTTGGGAGGGCACTGGGTAGGTAAGGTAGAGTTGACCTGTTTTTGTGACCTCAGCATATGAAAAGATTATGTTGTCAGACGACGTCAGTGTTTTTAAATGACAAAAACGTCTGAGATGTGATGCCTTTTTGAATTTGGGGTCTGGTTATTTTGTGATGATTAGTGACAGACGTGATGTCATTTATGGATGACCCCCGAAACCCACAGTTATCTAACTAGATAACGGGTAGTCTAGTTATATTTAAAATTTTGCCTGATTTAATAATATGACTATTCAACGAGCATAAATACACGTTATCTAGACAACTTAAATATAGAGCTGCAGCAGTCCATAAAAATCAAACACTTTATGCAAATATTATGAATCTATTTTTACATAATTTATATAATTTTTCTTCAACCAGTTCAAGAAAAATGGTTAGCCCTAGAGATAAACAGATGTAGGCCTAGTGACATATTTACGTGCAATCGCACATCTGTTATTTTGTTAACTATAAAAGTACTTCTTTGACTACATTATAGCCATGATTACCTATCGTTTTTATGTGCTTTTTATTTTTAAGTATACCTACATTATTTAATTGTAAACATTTTACTTGTAGCATTATTTGCTATAACTTAATATACATTTTTGGAACAGGGTAATTTATATTAATGGAAACTCGAAGATAATTGTCATATAAAATTGTATTATTTGCATTATTAACTTAAATTAAATAACAGTTCATTATTGTTATGATTATAAAAACTACATGCGGAGCAACCACTTATGGTCAAAACACCTGTGGGCAAAGCACCTAGTACTTAAAAAACAATGCGTGAAAAAGTTATTTAATTTTTAGCCATATATTACACGTGAAATGATTTGGTTATCAGCGTGTATTTTAAAATATCTCGGAGACTTCTCATTTAATGAAAAATTGCATTTACATTTTACGAAAACTGGAAGTATTTAGATTTAGTAAGTGGAAGGGGTTGGATTAAAATGATGGTCCCACCACTAAGCTTACATAAAAGTTTGTGCTAGATATTTTGAGAATTATATCAACAGACTGCAATCAAAGAAGAATTGAACATACTAACAGTCACTGTTTATTAGATTTACGAACACAGTATTTTGTACTCAAATAATTCTTACTCTGAAGTACGTTTATAAACCTTGAATGGGATAATAACCATAAAAATATTTCATAGTGCGTTGGTTTCTATCTTGTCACTTCTTTATTTCGATTTTTCCCGTTTGTGCCCAAGACACATGGGGTTGATGAAGTAGATTTCTTCTGCTTCAGAGACCTCGGCATATAAAGGGATATTGTGGTTAGCACTACGTCCAGCCGCCTTTCGTTTTCCATAGTGTGAGTTAGGTACCCATCAGAGCCGTGTGGACTCAGGGACGTTGAATGAACTCGAATTCGAACTCGATATTTTCTATCTCTCTACCGCTGGGCTATGCCGTCCCATACTTCTTTATTTAGAACGTTAATTTGTTTTACTACAATGCGTACTGTCTTGTTGAACTGAAAAGAATTGTTACATAGATCTCAAGGGGATATGCTCCGTAAAAAATCACCAAATTTGTCGTGATGGGTTTCTGGCACTTTTAAATCTACAAATTTGATATAATACTTATATATGAAATTTCATCAACCTAGCTGTAACGGTACTCACGTTATTATGTTCACAGACAAACACACACACATATACACACAAGCATACGGAAAAGATTGCAAAACTATGTTTTTTCGACTGAGGGAGGCGTAAAAAGTCGAGAATTGCGAAAATCTCGATTTCTTTTTTGCACGATTACAATACTTTCTCTATACTTCGTATACGAGAGATTAATAAACGGGGAGTGATCTCCCCTAAACTTCCTCGAATATTCTTATCTGAAAAAAAAACAGGGGATGGCAACTCGAGATATAGACATGAATCCATTTTAAATACTTTTTAAAATAGAATAAAACCTCGTAGAAATAAACCGGGAGTGATCTCCCCTAATTCTCTCGAATATTCTTATATGAAACAACAGGTAATGGCAACTCGGGATATAGACATGATTTTTAATCCATTTTAAATACTTTTTAAAATAGAATAAAATCTCGTAGTGCGGAATATTATTAGTACTTGATAAATTAACATGCGTTTTTTGAGAAATGGGAAATAGCGTAAATTACTACTTCCGGTCAACAGAAATTACTCAAAATTTGAAAGATGGCAGGAAATGAGATCGTTTACTTACATGTGAAATTTCATTTATCTATCTGAAATAGTACTCATGTTATAGGCTTTTGAAAAAGTCAAAGTAGAAAAAGTTCTACTTCTGGTTATCGGAAATCGCTTAAACGTTGATACAATCTACGATTTTGACATAATACTTATGTATGAAATTTCATCAATCTAGCTGTAACGGTAGGCCAATACTCAAATTATCGACACACAGACACACACACACAGAAACACACACAGAAACAGACATACGGACATATAATATACTGATTGACTTTTATTTCAGATTCTTTGTTCAAGGTGTACTATTGCCTTCAAGATCAGAGACTACCGATGTTGACTTTTTGAATCGTGTAGTTATTGTGACGGTTTTTTATCACATGTTAAGAGCCTTTTTTCAAAATAAACGTCAATAAACGTCACACAGCTGTATATGAAGGATTAAAAAATATTAATGCTGCACCTTAGATATTGAAAGCTGTTTCATTTTTTATTAATATGGGGAATCAAAGGAGATGTTATAATTCAACGTTGGATTTAGAAAGCGAACTGATGTCCGATACATCTCAAGATGAATTTGAAGTGGCAATTGATTTGCAAATGAAAAGCGATGCTGATACTCTGAGTAATCAGTATGAAGATAGTGGTTTTTGGTGCGCATCACATTTTCTATCTAAAAGCCATATTGATGTAAATCCTATTAATATAGATGGATTTGATGCTTTAATGATTGCTGCGTTTAATGGACATGCTAGAACAGCTGAGCTGTTAATTAATAGTGGCGCTAATTTTAATCATGTTGATAACGTTGGACATACTGCACTAATAATTGCTGCACAAAAAGGACTTGAAAGAACATTAGAGTTGTTACTCAAAAGTTGTGCTAAAATCAATAGGTCGAATACTTCGATCGATGAATATAAAGTAACATTACCATTGCAAATTGTAGGCGGTGCTAGTAGTTTTGAATATATGTTAAAAGTAAATGAACTCACTGTTTTAATGCCATATTTACTAAATAGAGACCGAAATATTTCTGCAGTAATTAATAAAAGAGATGCATATGAAAATCCCTGTGTTAAAGATATATGGGACGTTTTCATTCCAGCTTCCCATAAAGTTATCGACATTTTTATTGAGACCAATGGGCGTGTATGTCCTTCTTATAAAATAGGAAAGAGGGCTTTTTCAATTGCACAACAACTTCAACAAAATTTTAATGGTTTTTTAAATATAAAGTACAAGCTTTTTTTGATGCCAGACCTCAAGATTTTCACCTGCGTGTTGCTGGAACAAACAAATGGAGGTATGTTTCTGATATTTACTAAATTGTAATCATAACTCGTCTGCAGTTTAATTAAAAGCGAAGATAGAATGCATCTATTTTATAACTTAATAATATTGATTATTCCATCTAAGATACAAACAGATAGGCGCTTGAATGTGCGCTTGATTTTCCACAAGTCTTTCTCTGGAAATCCTTTATAAAATAACTGAGTAGTTATCATCATAAAGTAAAAAGAAAGTTAACGATATAAAATTAATTCTTAATTCTTACAAATTTTGATTTGTTTTTCCAAAAAATCGGATTTTATGTTAATTAAAAAATATTCTAAATTTAAAACAATTGTTTTAAACATATTCTAAAATTTGTAAAATAGATTTCCGATAATAATCGATTTAGCCACTTTACAAAGACTGTGTATTTAAGGAAGACAATACTCATATTGAGCTAATTTAACGTAAGTGGTTACCCTTACAGGGAAAATGAAGTAGAGTTCCTCAGTTTATGTGACTTTTAAGTGGGGTACGGTCAGTATGCCCATCCTCTTTTACTTTTCCTAACTTAAAGTTTGGTTCAGATCAGAGACAGATGGACTCCTACAGGCTCAAGGATCTGAACTCTAGACTTTCATGCTAGAAGTCGTGCACATTCCATCTCGACTATGACGTCGCATGAATTAATATGATTACATTTCTTCAAATCTAGTTCGGATTATAGTTTTCTTATTGGGAAATGCTAGAAACAAATAAGGTTTACCCGTGGAGTTTTTTTCTCGAAATGTTTTATCAATTATGACTACTTCATTTGCAATACTTTTAATAAGGGTTACCGCTCAGAGGAACAAGAAACAACATGAAACAAATGATAAACACTTGTCATCCAAAATTAAAACACAACTTATGAATTAAGCTTTAATGCTTTTAATATTAATCTTTTAAGAAACTGTTACTTTTTATGTTCGAAATATTATTAAGGTTTTAAGAAATCTAGTTTCGCATTTGTTTTTGTTTTTTAATTTTTTTGTAATTTTAAATATATTTCGTATAATATTCTTTACAAATCATTTATGCCATCGACAAAACAAAATTGTAAGTATAATCTCTAAGGTCCACTAATGACAATGTTAACTAAAAAGGGCTATATTATATTTACAGAAAACGCTGCAAATTACAAACATGATAAAGCTGAAGATTACAAAGCTGACAATACAGTTAATGGAAACGGCGAATTCAATGAAAATCAAAGAAACATCCAACACACTTATGAAAAAGATAAAAACGGAGTAAAATGTCGTGATAACAATCTAAAGACCATTGCGAACTTTATTGGAGAAACCAATTTGAATGAAAATGACAACTCGTCTGTCGGAAAAGAATTGCCGGATCATGCAATGTTTTTACGCATGTTAGAATCATTTTTGGAATTAAGAAACAAATCTACATTTAATATTGCAATTCCGGACATAAAACGTTCAAGCAAACTATTTAAAGCACATCAACATGAAGACGTAAAGAATAAGAAAGTAGAAGATAACAAGCTAAAACATAGTTCTTCGCCATCAGAATGTGAAATCTATGATACAGAAAACTTAAAATCTTTTGGGAACAGAGAAGGCATAAAAGTTGAAACTTTCAGAGATGAGGATAAAGAGAAAGAACTAAATAAAAACGATAAGTGCGACGAAAACAAGGACACTCAGTGTTGGCTACTAAACCCGAATATCACATTCAAGCAGCACATTGTTGCCTATCCTTTTACTGGAATGCTGTTCAACACTGAGCAGTTTGAGAATTCAAATCTAAGAGATGAGAGATATCGACTAATGACTTTTAGAGATATGTCAATTGAACTTAAAATTTCATGGATACAGTTAGCCGCTGAAGGATTTTTCTACATGAAAACGAAAGAAAATAACAACAAAGGCCGCATCCAATGTTATTTTTGCAAAGCTTACGATCCTGTTAATTTTGAGAACGTATTACACCAGCAAGATTGTCCTATGTTAAGTGAAAACTCACCTGATAACATCCCCTTTCAAGCAGATCAATCTTTCACTTATCTTTTCTGTAAACTATATCCACCAGAAAGAGGTACGGATACGGCGATTTCAAGCAAAGATATAGAAACAGATGCTTCAATAGATTCTCTTCAACCAGACCAAGACAAGGAAAACCGTTTAAAAAGAAACAAATTATCGAAGAGACCATTGTCCCAGGCTCCTTACTCTCGACCCACTCCATCAAATCCCCAAGCCGCAGCTCAAAGATATCACGCACTGAAAGCCCCGATTACATGTACCGATGATGGGGCGTCCTCTCTTGTAGTCGTATCTAACCAAGATTACATCACCAGCACCCAGTACAATAGAGCCCCCATACCAGCCGCAGTCAATGTACAACCACCCACCAGTACCCCGGAGATACAAGACAGGAACCCACCCCAGGCCACAAGCAACACCAACCTAACTCAACAAAGCCCGTCACCAAACCGATCGAATGCTCAAACCCTCCATTCTGACGCATTCACTCCAACAACCCGAACCCCATCACAACAAACGATAAATACTAACCAGCAACAGCAAAACCAGACACAACCAAGACCTAATGTTACCAACCTCAGCACTGAAGCCAATCAACTAGCACTAGCCCCAGTATCCCAAACCCAACCAACCGGCACCAACCACGCCCAGCAAGAACCAGCAGCCAACAGACCTGGACGACGGCCTGGGCACACCCCGACCTACAGCGAGCTGGGCATCATCACAGAGAGACCCAAGCGAAACGACTACGCCCTGAAGATCAAGCGACTTGAGAGCTTCGAATCCTGGCCCAGAGGACACCACCTAACTCCTAACGAGCTGGCCGATGCTGGTTTCTACTACGCAGGTAAGTTGAGGCTTGCTTACATTAAAGGTTATATGTAGATACGGATGTTGAGTACATTAAAATACAAACATAAAAGCAAACATAAATATAAAATCAAATATTAATCATACATGTAAATGAAAAAGCAAACTTTATCAAAAACATAAACACAAACATAAATGCAAACGGAAACATAAACACAAATAATAACGTAAACAATAACACAAAAAAGAACGCAAAAAATATCATAAACACAGAAAAAATACTAATGCAGATGGGAATTTAAAAGCAAAAATTAAAACAAACAATAATGCTAACACAAACATAGACGAAAACACAATGAGAATAATTATGAACGGATTCAAATCTATTACTAATTGAAAATATAATAAGTAAATTGTACATTTAGAGAACAAAATAAATGAAGGTAGTATCTAAATCAATTGCACTTTATTAATGCATACAAAGTCTATAATTATTTTTCTGAAACGAAAACAAACTAAAAGAAAGTAACATTTTTTTCTGATGTAATGTTTTTTTTTTTTAAATCCCGATGAGGGGAATTAGCTGGTGTACAGGGATGTAAATTACATAATTTTAAAGATACAATAAATACATTGTAACGGAAAATAAATTTAGTTTGATTTTGTTCTTTACATTTTTCGTCAGTTATAACGATAACTTCTAAAAAGAAACTTTATTTTGAAAATGATAAATATGGCATTTTCTTGACATAAATTTGGAGCTTAGAACAAAAATTAACACTTCGACAATAGTACTCAATACTATATGAATGTCTATAACAAACAAACATTTCTGCTACAGATATACAGATTCCATTAGAGCTTCATAGAGTAGATAATAGAACACACATTTATAAAAAAAGATGTTTTTAATTGTTTCAAACTAATCTATTAGAAATATTTATTAGAAATATTTAAAAAATTCTGTTTTATTAAATGTAATTTATAATGTTTTAAAAACGCGAGGTTAGTGTTTTTAAGATAAAGTTTTTTTTCTTTTGTAGGCTATGGCGACTGTGCCCGATGTTTCTACTGCGGCGGAGGTCTGAGGAACTGGGAAGACGAGGACAATGTGTGGGTAGAACATGCCAGATGGTTCCCTAAGTGTGCATTCATACGTCAACAGATGGGTCAGATGTTTGTGGATACGGTGAAAGGTCTCAATGAAGACAGAGATCAGGTATGATTGCTGGCATGTCAATAGTTTGCACCTTTAAAATGTTTACAATTGACTAGTTAAAACACTGTGACACATTTTTGTTCTCTGTATTTTCATTAAATTTTACTTCTGTAAAATTTTAAAGCTTATAACAGACCACTCGTGGGTCCATATTTGTCTGTTATTAGCCTTTATTTTGAGGTAAGCTTTCTTTTTCAATCCATATTGAGATAGAACATTAACATTGTCAAATAAAACATTTTAGTTATAATTACAAGAAAATCTTTGAAAATATTTTTCATTGAAAATGCTCATGGTAGTTATCAGTTATGTATTTTCCTGGCAGATAACGTATGACATGGTGATTGAGAAAATGAGAGATGCGGGACACACGTTTAATCTAGGTAGGGAACAACATTAGGAAACTGGTTTCTTCTCAAGATATTTGTGAAGTTTGATCAACACAAATACTATGCTTTTAGTTGTTCGAATGTTCATAGTTAATATTTTGAAACATAGATTATGTTATACATACATATATATATATATATATATATATATATATATATATATATATATATATATATATATATATATATTGAAGATGTATATTCTGGCAGAAAATAAAGAGAATCCACTGATGAAAGACCCAGCAGTTAGAACCGTTGTTGATATGGGTTACACAATGAAGGATGCGTTACAAGTGGCGATGATAGTTAAAGAGGAAGGTAACGTTGCAGTTTTATCTCATGCTGATGTAGTATTAAAATATAAATATAAAAAAATAAAGCCTACGCGCGTAACTTTATTTATTTTTTTAAACTTCTGATTTACATTTAATCACTTGTAAATAATTCTAGTTGATGTACTTTTTATGAGTAATTTCCATTAACCACTTTTTAGACGACAGTTTTACTTTTATACCTCGTATTGGATTGTGTTTTATATTGAGTATCTAAACAATTTTACATAGATTTCTGAATGACATCAAACATCCTGAAGAATAAGACATCGGTCAATTTATTTTTCGAATATTTTCATCTTTTATTTCATCTTCCTTCCTTTACTGAATCCAGCATAGCCTCTTACCGCGGTGATTGTTTTCGTGTTTAATGGCAAGACGTTTTAAATCCATAATACATCTCAGCGAGCCGATAATCTCACACAATACGCTTAGAATATAGATGATCACACCATGCTAATGTGCCCAGGGTTTTCCAGTTACAAAAACGTCCTTACTTTGAAATTTGTATTATATTTAATCATAAACGCAAAAAAAACCAATCGCAAACAGAAACAAAAATTTACCCAAGATTTATTTACGTATCCGATGGACTTGCTCTGCAATGTTTATCCTAAGGAAGTCAATGATTAAAAAACTCAACTTAATGTTTTAACTGAGGCGAAGATTTGTTTATCAGTTACTTTTTTTTTTGAAAGACGTAGAATTCAGGCTTTCTTTCAGAGGGTGTCATTTATTTTAATTGATCGTAAATGCATTTTCATCAAGGGAGTATAATGTCGTCGGATACTTTATTGGAAAAGCTAGAGCAGCAAAAAATACAAAAAGTAAATACTACGAAGGCAACGCCCCTGGCTATAACGTACGACAACGACGAGACTCAGTTCGCTTTACCTAGCAGCAGTCAGACGGAAAGATCCAGCAATGGAGCCCAACAGCTGGCTCTGACAAATGGCGATGAAGGAATGCAGGTCGCTTTGATAGATCCGTCTAGTGGACAAGTTGCAGCTAGAGATGTGTACACGAGTAGTGATAAAATCTTCGGTAAGAAAACTATATATATATATATATATATATATATATATATATATATATATATGACATGTTTAATGTCTGAGTTACCTACTTTGTATTGTAGCCCTCAATTACCGCGTAGACATGTTAACCAGTAAGGATTATTATGGATGTAATTTGACGAGATCTTTGAACTGCAATACTAGCCTATAAGAAGTCTTGAAATCTGAAAATACATGCAATATCCATAGGGTAATATTGATTACGACGGCACAAGGTGTCTCATGTAATGACTAAGTCTTTAAGATTGAAGAGGGGGGGGGGGCAGCATATACAACAAGACGTTGCTTACCTGTCAATCTCTAGCATACCTTCTCTGCAAGCACAATTGCTGCTAATTACTTTTTGGTGTACCATTTACTTTTTATCGTGCATATTTATGTAAATATGTGTCTTTGCGTCATTAGTTAAAGTGCAGCGACTCTAAAGTTACATTTTTTTCTCCACCTATACCTGGACTCATTCTTCACCATTTACTAGAGATGATTAGAGCCATTAAGGAATCTAACAACCAGCTGCGTCAGCAGACAGTGTGTAAGATCTGTATGGACAAGGAGGTGGCTGTCGTCTTTCTGCCCTGTGGTCATCTGGTGTCCTGTGGGGACTGTGCTGTGGCCATGAGAGATTGTCCAGTCTGCCGGGTCAACGTCAAAGGAATCGTCAGAGCTTTTATCGCTTAAACATTTTGTAAAATTATTATGTGTGTTTTAAGCTATGTAAATTTGTGCAAAGACAGTTTCTAGCTTTTCTTTGATGACAAAAATAACGATATGAAACAATGAAGACTCGAGGTTGCAACCTTAATAAAATGACGCAATATAATAAGATAATTTAAAAAATAAACTGATGCTACTAAAAGTACATAATCAGGAAGAATAGCAATGATCGTACTCTTAATTGATTATCAGTTCATTTATACAAATTTGTATGGAATCATAAATGTGGCTTTTAAATATGTTATGCTAAAATGCAAATAAGTAAATATAACATGTCAATCAAGAGATAAAAGAGAAAAGAAATATTTCTGATGAAATAATTTCGTAATTTATTAAAATTGCGTTCAATTTACTTTCTCTAATTAATGTGGTTTACTACAATAAAATCGTATCCGTTTTACATTGCATGTCACACTTAAATTCTTTATTGAACGCTTACATGTTTATTATAATTATTGACGCACTTCTATTGTTGCATTCATGTACCACAACAACATACATTTTTTTCTTTAAACTACGGACTAAAGCGTTGTTGTTTGGTTTATGGAATGTTCACATTATAATAATTTCATAAAATTTTATGATAAATTTAATACACATATATCGATCGTTTAAAGAAGATGAACATTTACATATAGCCTGTCAAATATATTACTTTTAAAGACTTTACGATCTATATTTAATAGCATACACATTAATAGTTATAATAAATAACAAACCTCAGTTTACTACCACATACCCTAATACATCTAATAAGATAAATAAAATCTCACTTAATCATCAAATATATATCTAGCTTGAAAAAAACATTAAATTAACCTTATAATAGTTATACATAAGTAAAAATAGTAGAGGTAATAAATTCGGTGAAGCTTTTAAGTTTCGTAATTGCTTTGAATTTCAAGTAGTGTAACTTTTAATAATTAATTTTTCTTTAATATAATTTGTTTTAGTATTTTATTAATTAGTTATGCTTTTATATCTAGTACGTTTTATTGCATGAACCTTTTTATTGTTTCGTAATTGGCTTACTTTTTTAGGCTACGCACTTTTTAAAAATTCAATACCCGAATTATTTTTTTTAAATAATTGAAAAATTGTTTAGTAATCACGAATTGCACCATTTTGCTCTAATATATATATATATATATATATATATATATATATATATATATATATATACATCAATAAGTAATGGTTTTTTACAGATAGGTTTAACACAGAGACCAGTGCATGGACTCACGGCTAATATATATATATATATATATATATATATATATATATATATATATATATATATATATATATATATATATATATATATATATATATATATATACCAATATATATATATATATATATATATATATATATATATATATATATATATATATATATATATATATATATATACCAATATATATATTTATATATATATATATATATACATATTTATATATATAATCTCTGGATTCCAGTTTTGTATGTTTAATCACCTTGAAATCTGAATTTCCTTTAACGGTTACTCCATATTTACTATTTTGAATTTTTCGAACAAGCTTTGAAATATTTAAATCTTTACAAATTAATTGTGTTTTGCTTACTAGTGTTCGTTTTATTTTATTCATATTATATACTTAGTCTTGCAATGGTATGCTTAAAATATATTTGATTTTCAAACAATTTTTTTTGGTTTTAGCTTTTATTTAACTGTTTTTAATGTAGCATTTAGCTTTCCAATAGCTTATTAATGTAATATCATGTGCATTCTGATCTCCATTAAAATTGTGATACTGGTAACTATGTTTAAAATCTAAGATCTAAATGTTGACCTATTATTCAAGCACATATTATACCGATTTGTGTAGACAGTTCGACATTTTTTTTATTTCTAACAATAAAGTGCACACACCCCTCCCTAAATCTTAAATTTGGTATATTTATTATGTTTGATATTTTCAATTACGTTTGAAAAAAATTAAGCCAGGGCAAATGGACTCAGGACAAATAATCTCAGACAAAATTTCTCACGGACTACTGATATCATGGACTATTTAGTTTTGGGATATTTTGTCTGAGATTATTTGTCATGGAACACTTTGCACATAATCAACTTATCAAAAATTATATCACTATCTTGTGGGAATAATAATAGCTGAACAAACTTTTCGCTTAGGCAAATGACGCTGAAGTATTTGCTATGGAAGCAAATGACTTCTCACGAAGGTACGTTTAGATATTCTCTTGAAAATTACACATTAACTACCAAGCGTGTTGTATTATAATTATAGGGCTGGAAAGTAAAAAAAGTATACAATAAAACTACGTAATTGTCTATATAATCAGGGAATATTATAACCTAAATCGTACACATTTCTTAATCAAGATAGATATTTTTTACTTATTGCATTTTATACTTTTTTCTGCTTCTATGGGTTATTTTTCTTTTTATCGCATCTATTTTAGCCTTCATAATTGGCCTTGGTGTAGGGATACGTTTTTGACTTGATTTTTTTTTAATTTAAATTATTTTATCCCAACTTGTTATCTTTTACTCCCTGTCGCAATACATTGTCACCGAAAGAAAAGCCTTTTCCTTTTCCATAGGAACATGAGGTCCAAAATGTTAACCCTCCTCAACGTAGTTTTATCATCGATCATCGTCTCACAAGTCTTATCTTCTCCACCCCCCTTTCTCCCTACAGGTTTTTGGCAATCATTTAATTAAGTCTACTAAGATTACATAAGGACACTAAAATATTTTACATATATATATATAACCAGATAACAAGATTTATCAGAAACAGAGTCTTTATTACATTTTTTACTTTCAATTTTAAAAGTGTGATCATTTTAATAAAATTTCTTTGTCACAAAACAAAAGTGTATATTCTTAAAAAAAGCAATGTAATCTAAAGACATAAATTGTTGTTTTTCATTTTACTTATGTTCTTTGTTTTACAACCCATTCAAACCATTATAATACTGTCTAATTGACCAGCATTAAACATTGCACAAGGATCAATATCAAAGTTTTCGGGTTAGAAACCTGGGTTCTATTACCCGATAACACAACTGACTATATGAAGGACGAAGCTGGACGTCTCTGTCGTATATTTTATAGTGACAATCACTACCAAGGGATTGAGTATAAAACAAAAGATTATTTAACACGGGCCAATAAATTCCTGAAGGGAAGTTAAAAATGTAGATTTAAAACATTTAAAAATATTCATGCATAGTTAATTTCATGTAATACAGTATTGTATCAACTAAAACATTTTGAAAAAATATTGCTATGAAATACGTTTTGATCTATAAGTTCAATGTCAAACTACACGGGTGATCGTAATTTGACATATGTGGGTGTTATAGCAGTTTAATGTTTTTTTTTACATAATGAAGGATACACACAGATTTTAATATAATCAATTGCTCGTTTATATTGCTGAAGTTGAGACTCGAAAGTCTCTGTTTTTATCAGATCTGCTTGTCAGGTTGATTCGCTGTTTATAATCACAATTGATTTGGTCACTAACAGCTAGAAACTGACATTTATTTTAAAGCATATGTTTCCCATATTAACTGGTTAAACTATATTTAACTAGTTTTCAATACATTTATAAATATTACAGGCAAATATTGGTTAAAAATTGATATTACCACCATTGACCGAAGAAGAAATGACGTTGTTAAAGATCCACTAAAAGAAATAGATCAATTCATTACAAAAAATAATGTAAAAAAAGTCAACACCTTTGGTTAAATGTTAGCAAGCTAACTATACCTAGCAAAAACTTACTGAACGTTCGTAAAGATGATGCGAGTTTAGACGCATTAGGGAGGATATTTTGTTGTTTAGTTTTAGCAGAGAAAGTCCCATCATTATTTACACTGATGTAGACTGATGTATTGATTAGCTACATTATAAAATAAACCGGGAGTGATCTCCCCTAAACTTTCTCGAATATTCTTATATAAAACAACAGGGGATGGGAACTCGGGCTATAGACATGGTTTTTAATCCATTTTAAATACTTAAAGTTTTAAAAATAGAATAAAATCTCGTAGACGAAAGAATTGCACACCAAGTGAACGCCAAATAAAAAAGTGCATACTAGTGCGCAATATTATTAGTACTTAAAAAATTTACATTAGTTTTTTGAGAAATCGGAAGTAGCGTAAATGACTACTTCCGGTCAATGGAAATTACTAAAAATTTAACAGAAGATAGAGAATTAGATATTTTACTTACATGTGAAATTTCATTTATCTATCTGAAATAGTACTCAAGTTATAGGCTTTAGAAAAAAATTTAAAGTAGAAAAAGTACCACTTCCGGTTATCGGAAATCGCTCAAAAGTTGATACGGATCTACAATTTTGATAAAATACTTATATATGAAATTTCATCAACCTAGCTGTAACGGTGCTCAAGTTATCGTGTTTACACACGGACAGACAGACACACAGACATACGGACAGAATTGCAACGCCCAGTTTTTCAAACTTGATTACGCATAAAACCTCTTAATTTTGATAAATCTGGATTGATAATTTTTGCCCGATTAAAATAAGTCCTCTATACTTCGGATGTGATGAAGGACTGAGGTGTAATACGGTAAAAATTGTTAAAATTTCAATTGATTTTTGTGCACGATTACAATACTTTCTCTATACTTCGTATATACGAGAAAGTAAAAATGGAAAACTCACATGATTCAATGATTTAATATTTTATTCGACTGTACTATCTTATTTATCCTATTGTAGACTGATTTAAATATCTATATTATAATTTTTTAACTTTATTTTTATAAATACTAATTAAACAAAACAAGGGCTTGAGTATAGAAAAGTTATCGCACTATTTTCTTTATTCGCCGATGTCTAAGAAACAGGTGAACTCTACTTCGTCTGCCGATTGACCGCTAGGTCTGATAGGGTAACAGAAAATTCCAATGGGTCTTCTTCTTCTTCTTCTTCGTTCTTAATTATTAGTGTTGAAAGGGGATCGAGATTTATCTGCCAGTGGGTTTGAACTCGAATTTTTGTTCGAATTTATCAACCATGAGCTTTTTGCCGACTCGACCACGCCTCCAACACAATTAAGCGTTACGTGTCAACTGGTTATGCGCCATTGAGGCCATTGACTCCGATTTCAGCCTGCTTTTCTTTCTGGATTTGCCTCCATAGCCTTTGTTACCAAGGCAGCAGTTGTTTAATTTTGGAGTTGTCTCTCCTAGAAGAGTGGCTGTCCCCAGCTAACGAGCCTCATCTGCCCGGGGGTTCGAACTTGAGACTTTTCGGTTTAGCAACCATGAGCTTTACCGACTCGACCACGCCGACCCCATGGTCCAATGGGTGATTTTTAATTTTATTAGGGAATTGTGAGAGAGATACATTTAAAATATACTTATTCAAAACTTAAAATTAGAGGTGTAAAATTAATCTTTTCATTACAGTATAACATTTTTTACGAGCGGGCTTTTTTTTAGATATGGTTAAATATTAGACTAAAAATTCCCTGGAAGAAACTGCCTATAATGATTGCACTAATGCTGTATTTTCTTTACTATCATATCAGTTCTCAGTTTTGAAAGTATCATAGACTCAACATTTAGGGGGGTGACACCAAGGCAAAAAATAGCAAAATATATAGAGAAAAACTTGAGGGGGGGGGGGTGCAAATCGAAAGTTTGTCCCCGGGAAGGGTCACAACGCCTCTGGGGGGTGACACCCGGCCTCGCTACGCCACTGTTGTATTGTATTGTATATATGTATATATGTATGTATGTATGTATGTATATATATATATATATATATATATATATATATATATATATATATATATATATATATATATATATGTGTGTGTGTGTGTCCATGAAACTCGCCCGACAGACATAATCAAAATCCATTCGTCCGGAGACCGTTCACGCGAATGGATGTTTGCCCGAATGATATAAATGCTCAAAATACACATGCAAAATGTCCTTTAATAAATTTGCCCGAAAAATTAATAATTTCATTTATATTTCTGCAGAATTTCAAAATGAACTTATATCTAATTTTTTAATAACAAAACCAAGTGTAAGCTTACAAAAAACAAAACCATTATAGTTTTAATGTAAGCCCTTACAAGAAGGTGGGGTGACTAATCTACTTTCCTAAGCTTATTTTTGAACTATCACTTCAGTGCAAGTCCGGCTACACCCAGATTGGTTAAAATCCTAAACTTAGTCTATACTAACATAAAACAAAAAAAGCTAATAGTTTCTAAAATTTATTGAACAAAAAATGGAACCAGATTCATTAAAATAAATTCAAACTACAAAATAAAAAAAATAAAAAACTAAAGGCGACAAAACTAAACACAACAAAACACCCAATCGGACAACAAACCTGAAAAGATGAATACACAAATGATACGGAAAATAAAAACAAAAGGGTAAGTACGGGGCATCATTAAGTCCCCCTAACCTACCCCCCCCCCCCCCCCCCCCCCCCAGCCCCCTGCATACGCCACTGCTCTGACATCTCGTTTTAGCCGAAAAAGAAAGACAAAGAGAAACACTTCGGCATCCGCTATCATATCCCAAACGTAAAAAAAAATAAATAAACCGGGAGTGATCTCCCCTAAACTTTCTCGAATATTCTTATATAAAACAACAGGGGATGGGAACTCGGGATATAGATATGATTTTTAATCCATTTTAAATACATAAACTTTTTAAAATAAAATAGAATCTCATAGAAAAAAGTATTGCACACCAAGCGAACGCCGAAAAAAGATGTTCATAATGGTGCGCAATATTATTAGTACTTTATAAATTTAGATGCGTTTTTGAGAAATCGGAAATAGCGTAAATTAGTACTTCCCGTCAACGGAAATTACTCAAAATTTTACAGAAGGTAGAGAATTAGATCTTTTACTTACATGTGAAATTTCATTTATCTATCTGAAATAGTACTCAAGTTATAGGCTTTTGAAAAATTCAAAGTAGAAAAAGTACCACTTCCTGTTATCGGAAATCGCTTAAAAGTTGATACGGATCTACGATTTTGATAAAATACTTATATATGAAATTTCATCAACCTAGCTGTAACGGTACTCAAGTAATCGTGTTTACACACAACACACACACAGACACACACACACACACACACACACAGACACACAGACATACGGACAAGATTGCAAAATTATGATTTTCCGTATCAGTGAGGTGTAAAACGTCGAGATTTGTAAAAATCTCGATTTTGTTTTTTTGCACGATTACAATACTTTCTCTATACTACGTATATACGAGAAAGTAATAATGTAAAATAAAACCAAATACCTCAGACACGACCTACTTTCTCGACTTGGTTAAAAAAAGAAAGACCCAAGCGGTCAGTGGGCCATATATACAGTTTCTCGGCCAGAAGTGAAACCCCGTAGCCGCTGTCCAGTTGAACATTCAAACACACATTCGCACACAATAAAATAATAAAAAGAAAAACAAATAAACCCTCTCATATTAATATTAATCTTTTAGTTTCGTACATATTATTCTTGAATTTATAGGTATATTTGCACAATTCCCCCCCCCCCCGCCATCCCCCACCCCCACTTGCTAAACAAAACGTGATTTTTGCCTTTGAAAAAAGAATATTTTTAACAAACCCATAGAAAAGTAGTGCATATCCCAGGTTTTCCCGAAAATATTTAGCCTAACACTGCTTGCCTATCGTACTTGTTTTAAAATAACAGATTAACGTCTCTTAACTTTTACAAGTAAAGTTTTGTCAGTATCTATTTACAAAATGAACTTGATTTTTAATATTATAAAATCATTATTAAAATAATAATGTTTTATTTCTCATTAGAAATAATAAATTTCATAGCGTTTCATTTTAGGAATTCCCGTTTATATTTTAAAATATGACGTGTTTATCGAGATTGTAAGATTAGCCTATGGATTTGCAAAAGCTGGGGGCGAAAATGGTAAATGTTTTATTGTTTTAAGTTAGAAGTGTTTTAAAATTTAGGCATTCGTTAAATAATGATTAATGCTGACATTAAATTCGATCTACAAAGGTTTAAAATCAATAGGGCAATCAGGATCGAGGGGCTTGGACACGGAAATTATTCAATCCATAATGTTTAGTATTTTAACAAATAAAATAATATAAAATAATTGACTAACACAATTTTAAAATTTTAATAACTATTATACGATAAGAATGAGGAAGGGGAGAGTTTATCCCTACATTCGTTTATCCCTACGGCTTTAGAGTGCATAGTGACGGTTGGCCTACTTCACGACTCTCTTGCACTATCTAAGTCGAGGTCTGTATTTTGGTCGTTTCTCTTTGGGGTGTTAGCAGTATACAACTTTCACACCTGTATGGTTTGTTCTTCTTTCTTGATGACCACTACAGAAGAGTCTTTGTACGTCACAGATCTCTTTATTAGTTCTGGTCAGCTCTCATAATAAATTAGACAACATATTCACTACAACACTTTCCTCTCCAATTAGATGATTTTATTATTTAAAGTGTAGTTCTCTGGGAAACATTAACATTACTATTATTATTGTTTTCTTCTAACACTGCCTCAGTGTGGATGTTAATGACAGTCACTCATTGAGGTCTAGTATGTTTAGGGGCTGATCCTTACACATATCACAGACGATGATGGTGACAATAATACTGATGATGACGACAGATAACAACATCAACTACTTATAACCCTAACACAAGGAATGATAAAAGAAAAAAAAATTATTGACATTGTCTAAGTCTTATTTTGAACTTTTTTAATTACTCACCACATACTCACCATGTAGTTTAATTTTTGTCTTGTTCAGTGTCATGCGAGTTAATAGGGTAGGGGTACTTTTAAAATATGAGCCTAATTTTAGCCTAATTTTATTTTGAATATCAAATGTGTGGTTTACAAAACCATTTTAAACATTTTCAAAAGCTAGCAGTTTACCATAACGGGCTAAACCAACTTTTTGAGTAATAATATGTAGTCCCTATAAAAAGGCTAAACCTGTTAAAGCCTTTTGATTAAAATTAACATACAATAAAAACAACGTATGTGCCAAGAGTGGTTATTAGTATTAATAGATACTATATTTAAACGGATATCCTTCACCTGAACTTTTTGAAGTATTTTTTTAATGAGCTCTTTTATTATAAAATGCTACATGAGCTGTGTTAGGATCAGGCATATTTAATTAGTATTGATACCAAATTAAAAATAGTGTTGATGGAGAGCGTGCATGTGTGGTAAAGCGCTCGACTGGTAACCCAAAACTCAAGTTTTCGGGATCGAATCCATAGGCCGTGCCTGAATCGATCGAGCTCTGATCCGTACATGACACTCTCTACATTGTCCGTTTATGAGCCGTGGTGAACAGTACTTCATCTTCCCATGGAAGCCCAGGTTCCGTCAAAACGATAACCTTCACGAAAGTTTCTTAAAAAATTAATTAAATATACTTTTTAAAATACAGAAGTTTGACATCACAATTTCTAAGACTCTATTGAAACATTCTCACAAGAATCATAGCCTTCCATTTGAGAGTATTAAGTCATTTACAGACGGCACCTAAAATGTATTTATATCAAGTATAATGTTTATTTATCCAATTTAGATTAAAAACAAATTGGAGTACATAAAGAGGAAGATTTATGGCAACTTAAGTACGGCAAAGTTCTTCAGTCCAATTTAAAGATAAAAAACAAAGGGACACAAGTTTTAATTATATTAATTACACTGAAATGCTCAGAGAAGAAAAGATTCGACTTTTAACTTTCATTGAAGTTTATTCAAAATTGAAACGTTCTGCTGTTATTTTGGCTGCTCTTGGTTTTTCATACATCAGAGGAAATGAAAGTCACCAAGAAGGCATCCAGTGTTACTTCTGTCATGTGTTTTATCCTATTGATGTTGAAGACTTAGCGCATGACCCTGATTGCTGTATGATAAATGAAAATGCCAGCGGCAACATCCCTTATCAAACAGATAGACAGTTTTGTTCAAATTTCTCAGAACTATGCGCAAATATAAATACAGAAACGGAGTTCATCAACGTTGCTGCTGATTCTAGGCATTCTGAAAATAGGTTAATCAATATCTATAACAACCAATCACAATCAGAAAACAGTTTAAAGTCTGCAAGATGTTCTTATTTCAATGAATTTAAAAATGCAAACAGTTATTTGATTGAACAACCTATAACATGCACAGACTATGGACAATCTGCTAATTCTATAAAATTAGATCCAGAATGCACGTCTCGTCAGCAGGGCTTACAAAGTCGGGAAATCAATGTTTTAGGGAGTGTATCGACACCTGTAAATCCAGCTAACGCGCCTGCCTATCTCACCCCTGAAGCCAATCAAAGATCTCTCACATCCATAAAACAAACCCAACCAACCGGCACCAACCACGCCCAGCAAGAACCAGCAGCCAACAGACCGGCCGGACGACGGCCTGGGCACACCCCGACCTACAGCGAGCTGGGCATCATCACAGAGAGACCCAAGCGAAACGACTACGCCCTGAAGATCAAGCGACTTGAGAGCTTCGAATCCTGGCCCAGAGGGCACCACCTAACTCCTAACGAACTGGCAGATGCTGGCTTCTACTACACTGGTAAGTAGACGCATGTTTACACGCGGATATAATTTATTATAAAGGCATACAATATATAACAATTTTGCATTTATTTCTGACGGGTATCTTTTTTAATTTTGTTGAATAAAATGAGAACGAACCCTAAATCGCTTTTTCTTAACGTAAACAATTTGTCTTGCAATTTCAAAGGTTATGGTGACGGTGCCCGATGTTTCTTCTGTGGTGGAGGTCTGAGGAACTGGGAAGACGAGGACAACGTGTGGGTAGAACATGCCAGATGGTTCCCTAAGTGTGCATTCATACGTCAACAGAAGGGTCAAAGATTTAATGATGCGGTAAAGGATCTGAACGAAAGAGGAGGGCAGGTATTTTGACTGAAATTCAGCAAATATTTTCCAGTATTTGAATATTTGCTGATAAATCGAAACACAAATTTTACATAAGTGCCACTGTGCTTCCCATAAATATGTCATTATTTTATCTTCTCTGTATATACTAATGTGCATAAAAGTTTGAATAACAAGCTTTTATGTAACAACTAGCCGCCCGGGCTAGGCCCTGCACTGCCATCTCTGAAAAACGCATCTGTAAAGGACCATAACTTGTGTGTTTAGTAATCAGCATTTACCCGGCATTGCCCACCCTAACCACAACCAACAACAAAAAAAAAAAAAAAAAAAAAAAAACGCAAACTTACCACTAACAAAAAAAAAACACAAACGAAAACACAAAAACAGACTCAAAGACAAACCCAACCACAAACACAAAGAAAACACAAACACTAACGCAAACAAAAAGCAAACGAAAACAAATCCAAACGCAAACACAAAACCAACCACAACCAAACAAAACCAAAACACACAAAAAACAACGCAAACATAACACAAACGAAAATACAAACACAAACGAAAACAAAAAAAAACAAACAAACGCAAACATAACACAAACACAACCACAAACACAAAGAAAACACAAACGCAAAGAAAAAAGCAAACGAAAACAAACCCAAACCCAAACTCAAATCCAAACGCAAACAGAACCACAAACACAAACCCAAACTCATTCACAAAGACAACACAAACGCAAATATAAACTCAAAGTGTCCACAGTCTAGCCCGGAGCACCTAATCGCAGCATGACGACGTGTAACCGCCTGATTCAACTTAGTAAACGACTATAGTACCCAACTTATTCATAGTCTTTTGAACTCACTTACGCGAACGTAGGTACGATAGCGAACACGGGAAGGCCCGGGGCCCCAAATAGCACCCTGTCGGGGTGCCGGAGGACGCCCGGATTTGATTCACTTAGAGACTAAAGAAACCTTTCTTATCCATAGTCTATCGCACTGTTTAAAACGAAATTATGCAGCATAGCACTCACATGATAGCCCAGGGCGCCAAATCGAACCGTGCAGGGGCGCCGGCGGACGCACCTGCTTCAATTTAGTGAACAAAATTATAATACTCCAAGCTTATTCGTAAATAGAAAGAAATAAACATATAGGATTTGTAGGACCTGGCTTATTAAATGTTATTAATTTTAAAAAATAATTAGTAAACAGTATGTTCAGTGTATAGAATAAATAAAAGGCAGTATTAAAAATACCAACGACATTGCACTTAATCAATCCCCACTAATTATGTAATTATTGTTTTTCCTAACACCAAAACAAAGTAAAAAAAAGTAAATTATTTCTTCCCCCGATTTAATGTTTTTTTTAAGGGAAGTAACTGTGTTTTCCAAATCAAGGGACGTTATGAGAACTAAAGGACAAAATGCAAATACATTTAAGACACAATTTTAGAAATTTTATAAACGTTTATACACTTTTTAAAATTTTTATTTAATGTTTATAAGTGAAAATTGTTATTCTAAGTATATAAAATGAAAATTGTTTTGAAAGAATTTCAATATTAATTTTTTAACTCATAAATTTAGACCATGAACACTTTACTAATCTAAAACTTAAATCCATCAAGTATTGTTTTTTTTTCTTTTTTTCTTATATTCCTTTGTAATCCTCGATTACAAACATTTTATAAACAAACATACAGAATTGAACTTTATATATTAGATGAAATAAAAAGGAGAAAATAAATGATTTTCTTAAAATATATAATAATACATTACTATTTAAATAACTATAAGAAAAAGCGTGGGTAAACTATATTATCTATTTCATGCATTCAGTAATATTTAGGAAGAGACCCACGCATTTCTTTATAGTTTTTTAAATAGTTGAGTATTATTGAATATTTAAAGTAAATCGTTTTTTTCTCCTTTTTAGTGCATTACTAGAATACCCGTCATCCGTTGGATAACTGTGGGTTTCGGGGGTCATCCATCAAAAAACATCACGTCTGTCACTCAGAGGCATAGCGACCCTTCCCGGCGCCCGGGGACAAACTTTTCGATTTTAACCCCCCCCCCCCCCCCAAGATTTCGATTTTCAACCCCCCTCGAACTTTTGATGTGCACCCCCCCCCCCCACTCAAACTTTCGATTTGAACCCCCCTCAACCTTTCAATTTATTTTTCCAAACCATTTTGGCGCCCCAACATATGTCCCCCCCCGCCCCCCCCCTCCACCTCCCCCCGCCTCCCCTCCCGCCCCCTTCCTCGCTACGCTACTGCAGTGTCACTTATCGTCACAAAAAACAGACCCCACATTCAAAAATATGTTTCTTATCTTTTAAAAACACCGAAAACACCGATTTCGGTCTATCCCTTCATATACTGACGTCACATGTGACCTACTCAACTCTACTTCACCTGCCCAGTGTCCCGCCAAGTCTCAGACAACATGTTTTTATCGTTTAAAAAACGATTCCAGCCGAGCATGTCTCTGACCACACTATCCTTTCATATGCTTAGAACAAAGAAACAGATGAACTCTACTTCACCTGCCCTGTATCCTGCCAAGTTCAGATAGACAACTTTATCATTCACATCTAAAAAAAAAAAAATTGTAAACAAAATATCATTGACATTTTTGTCTAGAACCTGTGCCACCCGCATGAGAGCGGACTACGCTACCAACTTAGCTATTTACTCGTGACGTCACAAATGAATTTTTATACTATACTATGAGTCTCCTTATCCAACTTTATTTACGCGCATAGATCTAGAACTAAGTCTAGTAGCAGCAACTTTCAAATTAAATTTTATCTTAAATTAGCCAAACAAAGATTTATATAAAATAAAGAAGGTCTGAAATTATCTAGAAAAAAAAATCTAGATCTAGATAGAATTATCTTGATCTAGATTCTACGACTCGTTTGCTTAAGTCTTAAGTTTAGTTTTTCTTGCTAGATCTAGAATCTAGATCTAGATCTAATCATTAGCTACGCTCATAGGCCCGGAGCCAGCATTTCAAAATTACCATATTCCAAACAAAGATTTATATAAAATAATAAAGGTCTAAAATAGTTTAGTATATAGAAAATCATTATTAACTAAATCTAGATAGAAAATTATCTATATTTTAGATCTACGACTGAGCTATATTTAGAATTTACGTTTATAATTTAGCAAACTTACCGGCATCGAAGCCGCGTATGAATCTTAAGCTACGCCAATGGGCCCAGATCCAGCATTTCAAAATTTGCATATTCGAAACAAAGATTTATACAAAATAATAAAGGTCTAAAATATTTTAGTATATTGAAACTCATTATTATCTAAATCTAGATAGAATTATCTATATTTTAGATCTACGACTGGTTTGCTTAAGTCTTAAGTTTAGTTTTTCTTGCTAGATCTAGAATCTAGATCTAGATCTAATCATTAGCTACGCTCATAGGCCCGGAGCGAGCACTTCAAAATTACCATATTCCAAACAAAGATTTATATAAAATAATAAAGGTTTAAAATAGTTTAGTATATAGAAACTCATTATTATCTAAATCTAGATAGAATTATCTATATTCTAGATCTACGACTGGTTTGCTTAAGTCTCGTTTCTTTTGGATTGTATTTATTTATAACTATTAAATCTTTGATTTGACCTAGATCTAGATTCTAGATCTAGATCTATATTAAATAACTTTCTTGGACAGATTTTAGATCTAGAGAAATTTATCGTAAAACTAAATGAAAAAGACAGTTGAAAATTGATATAAGTTTTGGAACGTAATAAATACAGCAAACGGACGTATTGTTAAAGTTATGACCGACAGAAAATTAGATTTAGAACGCGTTAAACTTGTGAATGGGAACACAATTTTCTTCGATAGACGCCGCCATTTTATTGTACTAAAGAGTAAACAAAAACCTGTGACGTCACGGTCCCGCCGAGTGTAGTGGTCGTTTTAATCTTTTTAAAAAAAATGGGTTACTCTGCGTATGAATAAATCAATAAATTAATTAACGTCTTTAAATAAATGTGTGATTAACAGTCTGTCTTAAAACAAAAACTTTTCCCTACCTACATACTATTTTACAGCTCTCCACGATGAGTGCAACCATGCGAGATAGTCGATCAGCCAAACAAAAAAACAAACAAAAAAAACAAAAAAATAAATATTCAAACATGTAAACAAACTTGACTTTTAGTAGTATATAGATTACATGAAAGCTTGTTATTAAAACGTTGTTATGCATCTTTTTTTCAGTGCTTTAAAAATTTCAATACCATAGAGTTACATGACTATTGCACACCAAATTAAAATGATAACGCATGTATAGTAGTGCGGAATAGTCGTAGTGAGAAAGCCTACTAATTTAAGAAAAATTGAATTAATTCATAAAAAATGAATTATATATCCAATTAAGTCAACCTTAATGTCATATTGTATTATCATCGGGTCTTGGCCCACTTGCCGAATATCAGAGAAATCGATCTATTAAAAGTGCCCTACATGTCACTCGCCCATTTAATCTAGACAAAAGAGACAGGAGGAAGACATAAGAAGCAAGTTAATTAAACTTTAAAAAATAATAGCATAAAAACGTTTTAATAACAAGCTTTTATGTAATAATCCACTGAAAAGTAGAAAATAAATGATTTTTTCTTACATTTATACAAAATTTACTTCTATATAAACTAATATAAATAAACCGGGAGTGATCTCCCTTAAACTTTATCGAATTTTCTTATATAGCAATACGGGGGATGGCACCTCGAGATATAGACATGATTTTTAATCCATTTTTAATTGCTTTAACTTTTTAAAATAAAATAAAATCTAGTAGAAAAAAGAATTGCGCACCAAGTATAATAGTGCGGAATATTATAGTACTTTATAAATCAACACTCGTATTTTTGAGAAGTCGTAAATTACTACTTACGTTGAACGGAAAATACTCAAAATTTTACAGATGGCAAAGAATTAAATCGTTTACTGGTGTGTTAAATTTCGTTT